GCCAAAGCATTCTTGCAAATAACAGAAAAGGTTTATAGGAAGTGCCTCAGTGTACGCGCCAGCAAATCATTTAAAATGGCCATTTTTCAGCCAAAAAACTCTGGAACATAGAATTTAGGGGGCGAGATTCAAATAGAAGCATTCTGCAATTGGGTCTGGATCTATGAAAACTATTTTGGTTACGAGAACTGCGCTACAAGAGAGTAACCAACGGAGGCAGTGAAGGATCTAAACGGATATTTTTGTGGCCTGTTGTCCATACAATACCAGTTTAAAAGATCGGTGAGGTTTGGTTCTGCAGTCCCATTTGATTGATGCCACATGGTTGGCTCTATAAAACAGTTTTAGTTAAAATATCTAACTTGCCGCTCGCCGGATTAGGAAGGGAAGGAGAGCGTAATCAGAGCTAGAAGCACGCGCAGGCAGGCAAGTGAAGGTGGTGTGTATACACTCTCCCAGTGCTTCAGCCACTTGCTAGATGTAGGGAGTAAGGAGGGCTTAATCACAACTCGAAGGTCACTATGGGAATCGCGTGGTAATTCGCAGTGCATGGCTGCTGTAGTGGAACCGACGAAATTCCACACTGCCGGAACAGTTCCTTTAGCAAGTCTTCTTGGCCACTTGCTGAATTAGAATAATAAAGGAAGCGCAAAGAGGCTCGAAGCGGGCGAAGGGAAGCGCGTGCTAACTGATACCTGAAGTAACCGAGGACGGTGTATAAGCACTCCTACCCCCGTGGCACAGTCACTCGCTGGATTAAAATGGTAAAGAAGATACAAATACGTGATACTGGTAAAGTCAGCTTATTCGCGTCTAACAATTTTTTTAGACAGCTAACCAAACTGTATCGCTTAAGTGAAGCAGCAAGACCAAACCTCACCAAAAATCTAGTTACTCTGATGACCTTTCGAGTCGATGACACTAACCTGGCGTGCGATGAAAGGAATGAGGGGGAGGTGTATCAAGCTAGAGCGTTTTGTGTCATAGGGATTACACAAACAGAGCGTTTGCATATGAGAGTGATGGAGACAGGGTTATGATAGGCGTTGAGAAGGGGGGATGATTATGACCCGCTGAGAGGCAGATGTGAGGGAGCGGGTGTACCGGTGTGAATGTAGACGGCAGAATAGGAGTCTGTGTCAATTTAAGATGAACATAGGTTTACGGAGCCTAGAGTGCGACCCCTCAACATCGCGGTTGAATTTGACTGTGTTGGAATGTCAGGCCTTGAAAAATTATCCCGCTAGTTTAGATTTGCCTCGGCATCACCCGAGCGGAAGCGGTGGTAACTTTTGGGAACGTGCACAAACGACAGGGACAAAGGTTACACAGATGACCACCCAGTTTTTATTCATGAATACAGTGGCTCATGTGGGAATCCGCGTGGCCAACATATACATAGGATTAAATGGCGCATGGAATGTGACAAATTGCTTCCGTTTGTTGCACTTTAAGATGTAATTCACTAGTATAAATAATGTTACATCGAAGAGGGATGCTAAAGCGATTTAATTAAGTCAGTTGCAGCAGTACGAGAGCATTTGTTGAAAAGTTAACAATTCCAGTAAAAGTGCTTGCAAATAAATGTATAGATATGAAAAAGAGAAAGCTCTTCGGAAAATCAAGTTACACACATAAAATTTCATATCGCTGACGCCAACCCGTCGTCAGACGGAATAAATTACGGAGAAAGTGAAGTTGGTAGACTATATTGGTGGGCGCGTCAAGACCGACGGCGACAGACATGCGACTGCCACGGCCCTCTGTTTTGGAGGGAATAGAAAGGTGGAACGGTTGTTTGTTGGGACTGGATACGGCTGGATTAGCAGACAGGTGGTGCGTGAGATGAGTAGGCACTGCGTAACTGTAAGTTTAGGCGTCAGGAAGGAGGGATGGGAGGAGCTTCTCGACTCCCTGTGGTGGAGGAGGCGGGGATGGTGGATCAATGGAAATGGTGGCGGCTGTTCGTTGATGCGGGCGTTTGAACACAGCATATCTTAGGTATGCTTATGCTCAGTCTCAAGAAGTACTGCCATTTTGATGATAAGCATTGTCAACAGGTTAGGGGCACCCAATAAGCTCGCCAGTATCGCAGCTGGATGCGAGACTAGTCGTACAGCGAATAGAAAATGATGTTGAGCAGCGTCCTCCCAGACATGCAGTTTACTCGAGAAGAAGCAACCTGGGACGCCCTCTCGTTCGTTGGCATTTGTTAACCTGAATACAAAGTCTCCTTCAATGGTGATCTCACAACAAGCGTCCACCAAAAAGCGCCTGATGTCGAATTCATCCTTAACTGTAGAAGCAGCCATCCTACGGCCGACAAAAGAAGCTACGTCCGGACTCTTTTCCATGCGGCCCTTCGTCCCTGCAGCTTTCGTGACGTACCCTAGAAATAGCCAAAAAACCTCGAATCTGACGGAGTTAAAATGCCAGGAAATTCTAGTTCCTGCCCTATATTCAGAAAACTTCCGAAAGAAACCCCCAACAGTCAAATTACTTTGAAATCTCCACCGCCCATAAACCCACATCCTCCCTAAAAGCGACATTATGCCAATTAAAGGACCGCATATCATACGAGCAGCTAGCCAGTCCCATTTACCGCATCCCGTGCGCCAACTGCCCTTGTGTTCATATTGGCCATACAGGCCGACCTTTTGGGACTCGTGTTAACGTGCATACATTAGCCATCCTCTGACGTAACCCTCTGTCCCTCGTGCTTCGCACACGCACCTGAGCGTGACCACCGCTTGGGACGGCACGGAAGTGACGGTAATGGCTGACACCAAACAGGCGCGATAATCCCTCGAAGCTTGGCATTCTACCACGACCAGCCTCAACCGCCATGCCGGCCTAGACGCCCACTGAATTTTGCTCACGCCCTAAAAACGCCTCCATGGAGAATGTCACTGCCTCGCCACCCCCCCCCCTCCGACACCGCGACCCACAACCAGAATTCTCGAATCTCCAACACCGGCGCGTTGACCCCTGACTTCGTCGAGCAAAAACGACCAGCTGCCCTCATTCCCATTGAACTAACATCGACGTCTGAACACTGAATATCACCGACAGCATCTGCATTGACCCTTTCTGTTATTCATGTTTACTTGCCCGCCTTTGGCTACATTATTCCTCATCTGCTCCGGTATTTGTTGGTATGGTAGTACCAGCAGTGCACCTTCGTCCCACCTGGGTTGCGGTGCAACCGCCCGCCCGTCTGGTATCTATTGATCCGTACATGTGTTCAGGCCTGGCCTGGGTTGACATCTGATTTCTGGTTTACTGCGCCACATTCGAAAATCATGGCAGAGCTTTGGAAGGACCACGGCAAATACAGTTCGTGATCTATCTGATGAAATGTCGCGAAGAGTGAACTCAAATCGATGTAGCGCACCAAACGCCCACTCCGCATCCACCAAAGTTATACTGCGTCAAATATACGACCGAGCCGCAAAACAAAACGCAATTTGGTTTATAAAGTAATATTTGTTGACCAGAGATAATTTATTTTATGAAAAGCCACCAAATAAAGAAACAATTCTATGACAGGTCAATTATTCACGGCCTAATATAACTGTCAGCGGAGAAGGTAGATGTCATAAAACGACAAACTGATGGGACACAGTCACAAATACAACGTATTTGTACGTTGTTTATTGTCCTTTGACTTTTCAAGTTGCTGTAGGGCGAGAAGACATGGACAACACCAAGTTGTCTTAGGTGGTTTGATCTATATAATTATTAAGCAAAAATTTGCCTTTTTCTCTATCGAAAGATGTTTTCTTGCGTTGTCCAGATTTCCATTGCATAATGCAAGCAGAAGTTTGATGTGATTTGGGTCGAGGCTGTTGGCGGAAGCAGAAAATGCTTGGAAGACCGCAGTCGGAGAGGCTGGTTGTGGTCTAACACATAAGATTATAGTCGTTAGAGGAATTGGAATCATATCTCCACTGAACGACGGACGGACGGACGTATTATCCTGCAACATTACGGTGTTAATTCGACGTCGACGAATGTCGATGTAACCGAGGACATCCATTTTTGGATTCCAGTCTATTCCAAAAATAAACTAACCACGCCAAATATATGCCGTCTCACCAACTCAAATAACGACCTCGATATTTCATGAATTACATCGTGTACTGTAAATGGGAATGTCCCCATTTGTCAAACCTGCTTTTCCTTGACCCAGGATGCCAACATTTTGCACAAAAGGATGGCGCGCACACAGTTCTAGCAGCGTTCAGTCCATCCATATTAGTGCCCTCTTATAGTTTCATACACCGGTCTGCAAACGTTTAGTGGTCCCTCCAATTTAAACGAAATGACGAAAGGTGCGCTAAACCCGGTAGATAACGTTTGTCCTTTCTTCGAATGGTGAGGACCTAAGGTCTCATGATCAGACGCGGAGTGGCTTTATCCAACCTGAGGACGGTGTCAATCCCCAATAATTGTAGAAGGCGCGTCATTTCCTCAGAAAGGTCCTCATTGCTTGGAATTAAGCAGTAATTTTTTAAATATTTAGTGACGGACTTCGTATTAATATTGACGGACTATCACGTTCACTAAAGTCGCGGCGACGCCTGTTGGCCATGAAAAAGCATCGGAGGCAGCAAGGTTTTGACTTTTTGTCCTTCGACATGTTGCCTTGTTTTTTCGCTCCTTTGTAGAGAGTGCACACACATCTGAACATTTTACCTGACAGGGGCTTCTTGATGTAGTTTGTTTTTGGCATGAATTCAACGAGTGTTAGTTGCCTTTTTATAATCACTAATTTGCAGGTACCATTAGGGTTTCAAATGATCATGCGTGGCCAGCAACTGCAGTTGGTTGTTGCACGTAGTCCCACCACGGCCTAGATCGGATGAACGTGCAGTGGTCACTATTTCGGCATCAAAATCTAACCGCGCGGAAAAGGATTAGGGCTGTTAGCGGGCGCAGCGATGATTACCGGGCGAAGGGGTGGGAGGCAAGGTCAGGGAGGATGCAGATGGCGGCCTTCAAAATTCGCACGCTGGCTCCCAACAAGAGGCATACACTCCGCAGCTCCCCATCTTCTTCTTCTTCTCCTCCTCCTTCTCCTGCTCCTCCTCTGCTACAATGACTGCCCAGATAGCGCCTGTGCGGATGCGGACGATAAGCAACATATGAAGGTCAGCGGCTTCCTACTAGAGACATGACGGCTGAAGACATCCTTCACCCTTCAGAACTATCTTTCCCCACTGACGCATCGATTGTAGGGGCAAAGCTCTTTCATCGGCGCTTCCTCAGCGTGAAAATCCCACCAGTAAATGCTGTGGGGAGGGATGCGAAATGTGTGGGAAAAGACATCTGTGCACGAATTGCATGACAGGAAATAATCCGTCGCATCAAGGAGGACGGTCTATGATTCCTACACCATGGGGGGGGGGGAAACGTTATTTTTCAGCTCTGAGAGATTGACGATTCTCGCAGGCAATCGTAACTCCTGTGGTTCCGACCGTGAACTACGAAGTCTTCCTCAACCGGCCGCCCACAGTCTCCGAAGCCGCTAAAAAATTACGCATTCAGTGGAAGACCAGCGTCAATTTCAACTACTGGTCCTCGCTGCAGGAACTACCACGATCGTACACGAGATGTACACCAGCAAAATACCAAAAGCCGGCCTGATTCCAACCAAAATGTAAAAGTGTTGCCACTCTCGGCCGATAGGCAAGCCTACTGTCCCTTTAGAAGGGACGATGGTTGGAACAGCTTTCGGTTCTTCGAAGAAGGCAAAATAGCCCCCTTTTATAAACCGGATGGGGATACGACAAATTAATGATAAGCACGGAGCCCCTCGCCTTCTAAATACTTCAGAGAAGCCTTTACGACATATTGTTCTCAGCCGTCTGCACGCGCACATGGGAACACTTTTTCGCCCTGAGTCACGGTGAATCCACCGACATGAACTTCTTCACCCACCAAATGTGGAATGAATGTCAAAAAACCGCAAACAGACATGTACGCTACGTTCGTGGACCTGGAGAGGGGCTTTGAAGCGGTTGATGGAAATGGACTGAATAATTATGCTAAAATCTGGATTTCCTAAACGATCCACTGAGATGGAACGCCAGTTTTACACGGGTTACTGGCGTTCGTCGAGGACAACGCGAAACTCTTCGGAGCATTCCCGATGACCAGCGAGGCGAATCAGGACTTTCCATTCGTTCTCACCCTCTTTAACCTTAGGTTTTTCCCCATTATAATGGATGCATACTGTGGAGAACGTACAGACATCGACGTCGTTTACAGAACCAACAGCTGACTATTTACCACCCCATACATGCGGGCCCAAACGCGTCTTTAATGACTACTGTTCACGACCCGCTCACCGTGTCCAAGTGGGAGATCAAAAATGCCATAGAAGAGGATGTGCAACGGAGCATAGACCGCCTTGCTACCGGCGGCGTACACATCGGACTGATCATCAGAAGATTTCAACCATTCAATACAAGTGCTCTGCCGTCAGCGTCGACGCCATTAAATACACAGCAGGGATAAATTTGTCTGTTTAGGCGATAGACCCACAGCAACATCATAATGAACGAAGGCGTTGCTGATCGGGCTATCCAATCTGGAAGTTCATATCCAGGTCTTCGGTCGGCTACAAACCCCGTCTGGAACAGCCGCGGAATTAGCCTCAACATCACATTCAAGATATGCAAAACGGTAGTCTAGACGATGCTAAACCATGGGACGAGGGCAAAAACAGTATACGTCCAACGGGTCAGGAAACGTTTTCATTTCCAACTCCTCCATCGACGAAGAAGGCTGAAGTTGCGGTATAAGGACAGGATGGTCAATACGAAGCCGTGGAACGAGCCAGAGGCCTCAGTATTCACACCAGGCTGAGGCAACTGTAATAAATCTGCAGCGTCCACCTCGCGAGGAGCGGCGAGGAGAGCTTGACTGAGCGACTCGTCTACGGCGTCGTAGCTACGGGCGCTCGCTCTCAGGGAGGACAGAACGACGTGACAAGTTCATCCTGAAGATTCCTTACAAGCATTTTCAAGTAATATGGTAGTCTTGAGAGGACCTCGCCCAAGACTGACCGACCTGGAGAAGAGCGGCAAATACTGGGGCAGCAATCTAGGCAACCATCTGAATCGTCACTGCCAAAGCTAACGGGGCGGCTTGCAGGTCTCCAGCAACGCAGAACAACATCCCCTAAAACCCAAGTGCGGTATTAGGTTTTCGTTATCAACGGACAGTCCCTACACCGGTCTGCCCCAGAGGACATCTACGAACCCGACACATCAACAAGAAAAATCTGTGGTGAGGTACCGGAGTAATTTACCTTTGACAATTTAGTCCTGTTTTCTTTGCCCGCATTGCTTGCTTGAATGTGACGAAAAAGGCACACCTGTACAACCGGTCTTGCTAGCGTGCTCCGCTGTGGTGTTCTATTGCCAGTTTCTTAACGTTCAAAATCTCTATATTATTCACTGCTCAGTTCTGCTTGCTACTTTTAGGGCTAAGGGCTCGTGGGATATAACTCGTTAGTTCGTAAGAACATTACTATTTACGTCAAATCAGTTTACTTCCTTCTAAAACGTCTTTATCGTCATCGCTGCTGCAACCTCCACGAAACCGATGGAAAACGAACACGCCCGTGAACAAATGTCCTGTATCCACAGAGGCGACAAGGGTGAGTTCCAGGAAACAGTTTCAGATTCTCACTTCAAACCCCGAGGTCGCTGCCCACCGCAACATGTGTCATCACATGTGTCAACCCATACGGTGACTGCAAAGACGACTACTAATAAACCTAGTCCCACTGCCGGTGGGAATACCCCCATCCACCTGCCAGTCATCACCACTACCATCGCCACCGCCACTACCGCATGCAGAACCACCACCACCACCACCACCACCACCGCCGCCGCCGCCGCCGCCACCACCACCACCACCAACAATTCGGACAAAATCACAACCTGTCCTCACTGCGTTCACACCTTCACACCCCTCATCAGCCTTGTAGCTCACTTGCGATTGTGGCGCAGTTGAAGTCCCAAAATGCATCTTGCTCGCCCTGTTCCTGCTCATTCAGGTACCGTATGGGCCTCCACGGCCATATAAGCACACGCGACCTTCGTAATGTCGAGATGCCAAGTCCACCTAGCACGTTCAGTAATTCATCATCTCCAGCATTACCAAACTCTAGACCACTAATATCGTCGCCATGAGCTCAGAATCTACCAAAATATCTTACTCATTTTGACGCTGCGGAAGAAATTCTCGCACGGAACTGATCAGTCACTTTAGAATGCATGGAACTCAGACTGTTGAATCAGTGCAGGAAGCCCCAAAATACACTTACCGTATTCCCTCCTACTTTCCACACTGCCTACGCATACTCAGCTATCGCATGGGCCTAGTCGGTCTCATGGCCATTTACAAAGGCGGATTTCTTCGCAGTATCTACATGTCAATCGTAACTTGCAAAATTAAAGCTCTCCCACATCCACCATCAACAATTCTGTTCACCATGGTGGTCACCATTAGCGACAAAACTACTTAAATCGACTCAGTAGCTACCAACCTATCCTGTTCATACTGCTACTAAGGGTGCATCTCGCGCATCCGCTTGGACATTCACCTGCGAACCCATAACGCTGAGGCTGGAGAACCAAAGCGAGTAACACCAGCATACTTCCATCGCACCAGCTTCAAATACTCGCAATGACCACGGATATTCAGTCACATCACAGACCTACTTCGTCACATGCGCCACCATGCTGATATGCAGTAGACTACCGCAGACCAAATGTTATTGCCACACATCCCCACAAACACAAACGCAGACCACACACAATACCGTCCCAAACAACCTACCGCAGGCGCGGGATACGCACCTTTAATCTAAGTTGAAAGCGTATTTTAACGCCTTCTCCGTGTGGTCTCTATGATAATCTAACACATGTGGGCTCCGAGCGATCCACACTTTTTGTGTGAAAACCGGGTTCGTCATGTGGAGGACAGATTGTTCGCGGGGTACAAAGTCGGACGCTCTATAACTGTTAGCTACATGCGATCATTTCCGCATCTGATGACTGTCCAGCCGGGACAAGGAAAGGGAAAAGACAATGAAGTGAACAACGTCATCCCGCTCCCATGCTATCCAGCGCACATTCCCCACCACCACAAATAAAATGTGGTGGCTTTTTGTGTACAGTTTTGCGTTTCTAGTGGAAAACTCTAGTGATCAGTGTTACGAATGGTGAAGTTAACGCATAATAAGCCGGAGGTAGTTCTTTGTAGATACATACAGTAGGCGGGCTAACTCATGAAATGTCGAACGAAATTAGGAAGTGCGTTTTCGTTCCGAAAAGATTAATCAAGTAGAGTTCTAAAACTAATCACCGGGCGCCATAACTAAATAATAACTCAGTTACTTCGGCATGCCGGCTTCCGAATAAACTTCTTTTTCACTGCATGCAAAAACTGTCCTCTGCAGAAACGACTTTTGAAGTAGCGTGAATTTTTCCCATTGATTTTTGTTGGACCTAAGTATTCAATTACATTTCATGAAAAACATGCATAAAGTGTTTCGCTCTTTTGCTTCTTCGGTAGAAAATGACGTCTTTTCGATTTTATACTCGAAGGAAGGAAATAATTTGGTTTTTAAAAGATTTTCCAATTTCCGAATAAGTTTAAACCTGACCTGCCGTTACATTTGCACTCAGCATTTTCAAAATACAAGCCGTATATTTTCCGCGTGCGCAAAACCATACATTTTTCTACAATATTAAGAGAAACCTATAAGGGGATAATAAAATTTGACGTCAGATTCGAGCAATATTGTAAACTTTGCATGCCACATTGGCAAATGCAGAGACATGACGTTTTATGTGCGGCCTTTTCTCGCTGTTGAAAATTTCACAGTTCAGAGCTTTTGAAAACCAAGTCATACCCTTCCTTCAGGCACAAAGCTGAAAGACGATATCGTTTTTACCAATGGAGGGAAAAAATGAATAATTTTATGCATGTTTTTATGAAATATAACAGAATTTTTAAGGGCATCGAAAGTCAGTGAAAAAATACATGCTACAAAAGTAGTCATTTTTTACAGAGTAGGGTTTTTGCATGCAGCCGAAAAGAAGGTCGTTTGAAAGCCAGCATCCTGGGGTAATTGAATTATTATAGAATTATGTTGCAGCCTGACTCTTAGACGACCAGCCGGCTACTCCACAACACAACACTGGGCCATCAGTTGGCAAACATCCAAGCCACGATTTTTAGCGCACCGTGATAGCTTTAAATGCGGCAGATTGTTTCTAATGAGGAAAATGCATTGAGTCAACCTCTCTCTTCCCATTTCCCCGCCCCAGCCGCTGTCCGAGACGATCACTTGACTGATACTTGAAATGAGATTTGTGGCGGGCATATCTCGCCACACCCAAGCCCGAAGTGTGGAACACCCGAGCCTCGAACTCGCGACATGTTGGTTTAGAAGTCGACGCCTCTACTCACCGGGCCACGAGCCCGTTGCCCTGTCGGTTTTTGATCGGGAATATACAATGTTAGGGGGCGCTCACCGATCGTTCATACGGAACTCACTCGTTCCGTTGTGCCTTATGGGCTCTCTCTCGAGACCAACCAGCAGCCGCACAGCGGCGCATGATATATAGGCAGAAGACAAGGGAGACTGGCTGGCTGACGACGGCTAATAAGCAAGAAATGGCCATTCCAGTCTCCCTTGTCATTGTCGGTAATATCATTCTGCCTATGCCATGCGCCGCTGTGCGGCTGCTGGTTGGGCTCGAGATAGAGCCCTTAAGGCACAACGGAACGAGTGAGTTCCGTATGAACGATCGGTGAGCGCCCCCTAACATTATATATATATAGAAAAACTTCTATTTTTCATATATATATATATATATATATATATTATGACAGTGGGCGCTCGCCGATCAGGTTACGGAACATGCTCGTTCCGTTGTGCCTTGGGGCTCATACTTAAACCCTCGCAGGCAGTCGCACAGCGACTAGTAGTAGACATAGATGAGATGATACTGACAAAGACAAGGGAGACCGGAATGGCCATTTCTGGCTTATTAGCCGTCATCAGCCAGTCATACCCAACCCCAAGTGTGGATCACTTGAGATTCGAACCCGGGATCTTTGGTCATGGAGTTTGACGCTCTACCATTGAGCCACGGGCCCGTTGTCCTGTCGGTTGTGATCGGGAATATTAATTATGACAGTGGTATCATCTCATCTATGTCTACTACTAGTCGCTGTGCGACTGCCTGCGAGGGTTTAAGTATGAGCCCCAAGGCACAACGGAACGAGCATGTTCCGTAACCTGATCGGTGAGCGCCCACTATCATAATTAATATTCCCGATCACAACCGACAGGACAACGGGCCCGTGGCTCAATGGTAGAGCGTTCAACTCCATGACCAAAGATCCCGGGTTCGAATCTCAAGTGATCCACACTTGGGGTTGGGTATGACTGGCTGATGACGGCTAATAAGCCAGAAATGGCCATTCCGATCTCCTTTGTCTTTGTCGGTTTCATCTCATATATATATATATATGAAGATAAGGCAATCACAGAAACCATGATGAGGTGAACACTCTTCCCAACACCGGGGTCGATGCGTCAGATGGTCGAGCAATCATCACGCCAACATCCAACGCACGTGAGGAAATTGCAGCAGTTATCGACTCGAATGTCGGCCATCAAGCAATGATCACACCAAGTGCGACAATCCCGGATGAAGGGGGGAGCCGTGAACGTTCATAGGTATGCGGTAGCATGGCTACTGCATCCTATAAATACCGCAGCCCCTTGTGCAACAACCATTCGTTTCTGCTCTTTTGTCTCTGATGATGGATTCGAGTATGAATCCGAAACGTCAGTCTAATAATGCTCTTGTCCCGGCGATCGTGTCTCCTTCTTCAAGACTACTTCCTGGGACTCGGCTCTTCGCTTCTATTGGTAACCATGTTTTTATTGGCCTGACGTTTCGAAAGCAGACGAGCTTCCATCATCGGAGGTGGTTTGCGTACTGCATGTCACAGTATTTAAGGTCTTTTTTCGCGCTTGGGTGTCAGTGACTTCCAGCGCGCTGCATCACAAGGTTTGGTGATTATTGTAATGGCGGCATCGGCTCGTCCTTATCCTTTGTCGGGTGTGGGGAGGGGAGCGGCGTCGGGGTGACCGCGGCCATTACTCTTGTTTGCATTGTCCGTTGTCCGCCCTCCACGTATCTTGCCTTCCTGCACCGTTCGCACCTGTCCGTAACCGTGTGGACGGTGGTTGTCATGCCAGGGATATGATAGATAGGCGCTCGTGCCGTTGTGTCTTGGGGCTCAAACCAGAATCTCGCGGGCAGTTGTACAGCGACTAGTAGTAGAATTAAATGTGATGATACTGACAAAGACAAGGGAGACCGGAATGGCCAGTGGCAGAGTAGTAAAACTATACGACCAAAAATCCTAGGTTCTAATCGCAAGTGCCTTACGCTTCGATTTGGATATGACTCGCTGACGACAGTTGACAAGCCAGAAATGACCATTGCAGTCATCCTTGTCTTTTTCGCTCATGCTATCCTGCCTATATATATATATATTTATGGTAAAGGTATTATACCGTACTCCCGACATAGATACTTGCTAAAAGCCCAGACCCTAAAAAGTCATGTCCCGGAGATTTAACTCCAAGTCCTGCACTGATTAATTTCTGAAAATATTCACCTGATTATTTTCTGAAGTTCTTATATCAGAAAGCGCTAGAGAACGCTGGGGGTCCCACTGAAGAGCCGAATCCCTCGCAGCTGTGTCACGCAGCGGCAGAATATCGGCGAAACACTTGTCTGAGCTTTTAGCAAGTATCCATGTCGGGAGTACGGTATAATACCTTTACCATATGGAATTCATAGTACTCGTAATACTACTTGTTTGTAGAATGGGCATGACGTGGTTATTCCACAGTAGTTGATTGTCTTCGACTCAAGTGTTCATTGAAATTTCGGTTCTGACCCTAAAAAGTAATGTCCCGGATATTTAACTCC